TTGGGGTGGGCTGAGCCTAGGCTACCTCATGCTCCACTCCCACCCACCTTGGTGCTGCCAGGCCCTGACCCCTCCTTCATGATGTCACGGTAGCTGAAGGACGAGATGCTACTGCTGTCACCCATGGTTGTCCGGCTTGGGGAGCTCATCTCAGCCAGGACTATCTCCTCCAACCCTGTGGGGAGGGGACATGTTAGGGAACCCAGGTGTCCGGGCTTCCACCACCCCCTAGTCCCACACCCTAGCCCTGGCTTCCTAGCCAGAGAACCCAGGCATCCAGGCTCTTGACCCCACATACTCTCCCCCCACCCCAAAGACTCTACTCCCCCCCAGGAAACCCAGGCATCTGGGCTCCCAGCCCCACCCCTGCTCTAACCAGTAACCCCTACTCCCCTCCCAGAGAACCCAGGCATCTGGTCTCCCTCTCCCTGAGTTTTAATCCATTAACATTCATAAACCAATATCTAATTAACTCAAAACCTACATAAACATTCCCCCCTCTCATCACTGACTTCATTTGAATTAATTATAATTATTAATTTAATCCACCTGTTAATTAGAATACATCTACACATGGATGCCTACAAGGAAGGAATAGGTTGCAATCGGACCTAGACAGGTTACAGGGGTGGGCAGATAAGAACAGGATGGGTTTCAACACTGACAAGTGCAAGGTGCTGCACCTGGGGGGGAAGAACCAGCAGCATACCTACAGGCTGGGAAACTCCCTTCTCATCAGTGCAGAGGCAGAAAAGGATCTTGGAATCATTAGTGATGCCAAAATGAACATGGGCCGACAGCGTGGGGACTTGGTCAGGAAGGCCAACTGCACCTTGTCATCCATCCACAGATACATCTCAAGCAGGTCCAAGGAGGTAATCTTCCCCCTTTATGCGACACTAGTCAGGCCGCAGTTGGAGTACTGTATCCAGTTCTGGGCGCCACACTTCAGGAGGGATGTGGACAACATGGAGAGGGTCCAGAGGAGGGCCACCCATATGATAAGGGGGCAGCAGGGCAGATCCTACCTTGGAGAGGCTAAGGGACCTGAACCTGTTCAGCCTCCACAAGAGAAGGCTGAGGGGGAATCTGGTGGCCTTCTATAAACTGGCCAAGGGAGACCAGCAGGCATTGGGGGAGTCCCTGTTTCCCCAACCACTACCAGGAGTGACTAGAAATAACGGTCACAAGTTGGCAGAGGGTAGATTCAGGCTACACATCAGGAGGGACTACTTCACTGTCAGGGTGGCTAGGATCTGGAACCAACTTCCAAGAGAAGTGGTGCTGGCTCCTACCCTGGGGGGCTTTAAGAGGAGGCTAGATGAACCCCTTGCCGGGGTCGTTTGCCCCCAGTACTCTTTCCTGCCATGGCAGGGGGGCAGACTTGATGATCTGCTCAGGTCCCTTCTGACCCTACCAACTATGAAACTCTCTCAGCACAGATACATCATCATCGTTTTTTAAGTTTAGATTGATGTAATGCATCAGTGTAAACGCCCTGGACTCTAAGGGCCTTCCACAGAGCCATCACTATGTACAGGAACATGTTTAATGGGATAGGTTTATCTGGTTCCTGTTCTCTGTGGCCACGGACACTTTGGAGGAAGCCAGAATCCTAAAGTCAGGAAGAAGCAAGATTGCAAGGGAGCTGCAGAGGTTGGATAGGCCCTGGCCAAACCATACGTGTTGCAGAGGCTACAGACAGCATGTGTATGTGGCTGTGGAGGGGTAAAGAAACCCAGCTGGATAATCCACAGTGCTTCAGGATGCATAGGTGCACGCACACGTGCGCGTGAGCTCATCTGTGTGCATGTGCATTCATCTGTGCGTGCATCTGTGTCTGAGCCTGCATGCATCTGTCTGCATCTATGCGTGCGTGTCTGTGTTCATGGCAACTAGAATGTATTTGTCTCTGTGTGTCCATGTGCAGAGAGTATGTAGACTACACACCCATCTGAATGTGTATGTAGGGTGTGTGTGTGTGTGTGTGTGTGTGTGTGTGTGTGCGCGCGCGCGCGCGCGCACGCTCGTGGCAGGAGGGAGTGTGTGCGTCTGTTCATAGCAGAGAGAGATGTTTGAATCTGTGTGTCCATGTGCAGAGTGAGAGTAGAGTGCATGCCCATCTACATGTGCATGCCTGTGTGTACATACATGTGTGCACACGCACATGACCATAGCAGGGGGGCAGGGGGTAGGTAGCAAGGAGAAGAGGGGGGCATGTACCCCACCCCCAGCCTGGCAGGGTCCACCCAGTCTCCCCTACCAGCACCAGGAAGGGAAGGGGTCCCTCCACCAACCGCCCTGTAACCCAGCTCCCATGGGGGCACAGGGCCTCCAATTTTGTGTTTGTCCAGGGCCTCAGTACACATTAATCTGCCTCAGGGTCGGGGGGAGTGGGGCCGGACATAGGCTCTCTCCGCACCCACCCTTCTTGATGGCAATTTGCTAGTAATTTTTATTTTTAAATTTTTTATGTATTACACATAATATAAATGTGTGTTTGTGTGCATGTGCACATGCACATTGAATGCATCTATAGTCTAAAAATATACATAAAGCATATGTATAATATATATATAGTTATACATAGTAAATTTATAATGTATACCAGGCACATGTATTATGAACACAAGTTACAAATTCATTTGATATATTATAAATGCATATCTGTGTGTGTACATGTATTGTGCACATGTTAAGTTAGATTCCATAGCTTATACTACTTCATTTCTCTAGTCCAGATCTACTATGCTCACAAGAAATATGACATGTTATACAGATATATTATACATAATATGCTATATATCATATAATATTTAACATATGCTATAGAACATGATGTCTAGGCACTGGGGTGGTGCAGGCACTGAGGTGCCCAGTTAATAGCCCAGAGGTCACAAGGTTGAGGCCATAGCAGAAGTGCTCACCGCGCAGCCTGTCAGATTCCAATGAACTTGTGAATTCTTTTAAACACCTTGTCACAAGGACATGAAAAAGGATGCAAATGATATGTACCATGGATACTGGATGCATAATATACTGATACATTTCATAGACATTAGGGCTGGAAGGGACCTCGGAAGATCGAGTCCAGCCCCCTGCCCCAGGAGCAGGAATTCAGCTGGGGTCATAGGATCCCAGCAAGAAAAACATCCAGGTTTCTCTTGAAGGCGTTAAAAGTAGGTGCTTGAACCACCTCAGGCGGCAGGCCATTCCAGACCTTGGGGGCTCAGACAGTAAAGAAGTTCTTCCTTATGTCCAGCCTGAAATGGTCTTGCAGGAGTTTATAACCGTTTGACCTTGTAATCCCTTGGGGCGCTCTGGTGAACAAACGTTCCCCCAGATCCTGGTGAACACCCCTGATAAACTGATAGATGACCATCAGGTCGCCCCTGAGCCTGTGCTTTTCCAGGCTGAAAAGTCCCATGGCTCTCAGACCTCATGAAGAGAGGCTGTTTTCCTGCCCTCTGATCATGCGTGTGGCTCTCCTCTAGACTCTCTCAAACTTCTCCACATCCTTTTTGAATTGTGGAGCCCAAAACTGGATGCAGTACTCTAGCTGCGGCCTCACCAAGGCCGAGTACAACGGGAGAATGACGTCCTGGGATTTGCTTGAGAAACATCTATGGATGCAAGCCAGCATTTTGCTTGCTTTACTGGCTGCAGCATCACATTGCAGGCTCATGTTCATCTTGTGGTCAATCCTGACCCCCAAGTCCCTCTTGTCTATAGCGCTAGTCAGCATAGCACTGTTGAGCCTATAGACATGCTGCAGGCTTTTCCTCCCAAGGTGGAGAACCTTGCATTTTTCAGTGTTAAACACCATCAGGTTCTCATCTGCCTATTTACTGAGCCTGTCAAGGTCAGCCTGGATTACCCCTCTGTCCCAAGGTGTGGATGCTTTACCCCAAAGTTTGGTATCATCGGCGAACTTGGCCAGTCTGCTTCTGACTCCAATGTCCACATCAGTAATGAAGAGGCTGAACAAAATAGGTCCAAGGACAGAGCCTTGAGGGACCCCACTGGTCACAGGGCACCATGACAATTGACTTCCGTCAACCACCACCCTCTGGGTCTGACCACGAAGCCAATTCCCCAGCCAGCGGATCATGGTGGACCCGAGGCCACAGTTGGCCAGTTTTGCCAAAAGGTGATCGTGGGATACCAGATCAAAGGCTTTTTTAAAGTCGAGTTATATGACAATCTCTTCCCCCTTGTCCAGGTGATAGGTTACCTGGTTGTAAAAGGAAATGGGATTGGTCAAGCATGACCTACCCGCAACGAATTTGTGTTGGCCGTCTCTCAGGGTGTTGCCATCAGCCAGTCCGTTAAGAATGGCCTCCTTGATGAGTTTTTCTAAGACCTTCCCCAGGATAGAGGTCAGGCTGATGGGACACTTTCCTCCATTTCCTGAAGATAGGCACCACATTGGCCTTCTTCCAATCATCGGGCACTTCACCAGAGTGCCAGGAGTCTTCAAAGATCCATGCCAGGGGCTGAGCTATGATGCTTGCCAGCTCCTTGAGTACCTTTGGGTGCAGATGGTCAGGGCCGGCTGACTTGAAGGTGTCCAGCCTCTCAAGCTGTTCTTTCACAAGGTCAGCACTGACGGAGGGCAAGGAACCACCCTCGCTTAGGCATCCCTGTCCCGTAATGGGCTGGGGCGCCCCATGGGACTTGTGAAAGACTGACACAAAAGTACCCATTTAGCAAGTTGGCTTTTTCCTGGGGGTTGGTCGTCAGTTCTCCCTTTTGGTTAAGCAGGGATTCAGTGTTGCCCTTGCTTTTCCTCCGGCTCCCCACATATCTAAAAAAGGACTTTTTATTGTCCTTGATACTTGGAGCCAGTTGGAGTTCCATGGCAGCCTTTGCTTTCCTGGTTTGCTCCCTGCAGGTCCGAACCAGTGCAGAGTATTCCTCCTTGGAGGTGGATCCCGTCCTCCATCCTTTGTAGGTCTGTCTTTTTAGATGCAGGAGGACCGCCAGTTCCCTGGAAAACCAAGGGGGCTGCTGTGCCCTCTTACTGCCTTTCCTCCGAGACAGAATAGCCTTAGCTTGTGCATCTAGGATTGCTCCCTTGAGGAGCAACCGTTGGGGTCATGGTCCCTTAGGGCCTCACCGACAAGTCTCCTGAGCTTGTCAAAGTCAGCCCTCCTGAAGTCGAGGACCTCTGTATTGCTGACTGATTGACAGCTTTTTGATGGATGGTGAAGGTGATCAGCTTGTGGTTGCTGTCACCCGGCTTTCCTTCAATCATTAAGTCACCGATTAGGTTGTCCCCGGTTGCCAGTACCAGGTCAAGCAGTGCTTTGCCCCTCATTGGCCCGTAGACTTCTTGAGTCAGATAGAGCTCATCCACGCACGCGAGGAAGCTTTGCAACTGTTCGGATTTGGCCGAGTGCTCTTCCCACGAGATGTCTGTGTAGCTGAAGTCCCCCATTACAACCATGGACCGGGAGCGTGCAGCCTCAGCCAATTCCCTAGCGAACTCCTGGTCAATCTCTTGATTCTGGGTGGGAGGTCTGTAGTAGGCTCCCACCATTGTATCTGCTGTGCCGTGTTCCCCACGGATTTTAACCCAGAGGGTCTCTAGTCTGTCTATCCTGGGTGTCGACGTCAGCTTGTAGGGATGCGTAGTTCTCCTTGACACAGAGAGCTACACCTCTGCCTCTTTTGTCCGCTCAATCCCTCCTGTACAGGGTATAGCCATCTATAGCCCGTGGTCCAGTCATGGGTGGAGTCCCACCAGGTGTCCCTTATTTCTATGACATCGTAATTATTTCTGTTGAGCAGGAGGACAAGTTCCTTCTGTTTATTACCCAAGCTCCTGGCATTGGTGTACAGGCATGCAAGTGTCCCCTTGGGGGTCCTTGCTTTGCCCACAGCTTGCTCTAGGGCTGGGGCAGGGGTAGGCTCCCTTAAGTGCCTTGGCCTGCTGGCTTTGCAAGGGTTGCTCAGCGGGCCAGCAGTGGTGGTAGTCCCCCCATCCCCTGTTGGGCTTAATTTAAAGCCCGGTGGAGCAGATCAGCCAGTCTGGCTGAGAAAAGCCTCCTCCCCAGCAGAGAGAGGTGGAGGCTGTCCCTTCCCAGGAGCTCACTGCCTCTCTCAAAGAGCAGATTGTGGTCATGGAAGCCGAAGCCTTCCCGATTACACTAGCGCCACAGCCTTTGGTTCACTACTTGTATCCTCCTCTCCCTCCTTAGCCCATAGCCCGAAACCAGAAGGATCGAAGAAAACACCACCTGCGCCCCCCCACCCCCTTCAGGCCTGCTCCCAAATCCCTGTAGCGCCTCATGACCCAGCTGGGAGGGTTCCGAGCCGTGTCATTGGTGCCCACATGGACGAGTAGCATAGGGTAGTGGTCAGTGGACTGGAGGAGTTTAGGGATCTTCTCTGCAACGTCTCGGATACGGGCTCCCGACAAGCAGCAAACTTCCAGGGCTGAGGGGTCGGGGCAGCAGATTGCTCCCTCCATCCCCCTCAGGATGGAGTCTCCCACGACAAACACTTTGCATTTTGTCTTAGGGAGAGCGGGGGCGGTAGCTACAGTTGAGCCTGTATTGCGTGCATGAAATGTAACGTGATGTAACATTACATGAGATGAGATGAGATCTCTCTTTCTATCCATACCTATATCTACCCATCCATCACATCTTATCATTGCATAATAATGTGATATATGATCACTGATTCATTAGATTTACATATATTATTCAGATCACTTTCATGCAGAAGCTTCCATTTACAGATCAAACCACTGACATCCCAGCTGTAAAGATGAACACAGCACCATTTTGGCTGGTATATTTACAGTCAGGCCTAATTTGCATGTATGTAAATGAAGCCTCCTCCCACTCCCACTTCCTCTATCCAACAACTGCAGATACAATTCCCTGCTGGGACTGGACCTGCCAATAGAGACCTCCCTGCCAGTCAGCTAAAATTCCAGCCTCATTAAGAATTTACGAGGGTTTATATGTTAATGGCTTTGATCTCCCCAATGTTTGCATGTGTCTATTACACTTTGGGCTGAAATATTCATTTTGCTAAGGCCCCCAAATCCCCACCCCTGGGGATCCTCTGGCTATGAAACATGCAGGAGGTTTGATCCAGCCAGGATGTACCCTATATCTCTGGAGTGGGGCAGCTGGGGAACAACCAAGTATAACACTGACTAGAGAGGACTAAGATGCAGCCAGCTCTGGGATAGTGTGGCTAGGAAATGGCCAAGTATACAACCACCTGGGGAGGGGTTGCTTGTCACTGAGAGGCAGCCAGTTCTGAGGTGCTGCAGCTGGGGAATGGCTGAGTGTAATGGTGCCTGGGGAAGGCCGAGATATGCCCAGCTTGGTGGAGCAGCTTGGAACAGCTGAGTATAACATGACAGAAATAGCTGTTCCATTCTAAATCTGGATGCATTTCAGGCCTCCCCAGGTGGCATTAGACTCAGTCATTCCACAGCTACTCTACGCCAGAACTGGGAGCATCTCAGCTGTCCCTGGGCAGCATTATGCTCAGCTGTTTCCCAAGTGCAACACCCCAGAGCTGGTTGCATCTTGGCCTGTTATACTCAGCCTTTTCCCAGCCTCCCCACAACCGAGCTAGGTACAACTCAGCTCTCCCCTTGGAATATTACACTCAGCCATCTCCCAGCTGCCCCACCCCAGATCCAGCTACATCTCAGCTGTTCCTCAACTGAAACAGTCCAAAACCAGCTGCACCTTGGCCTGTTATACTCAGCCATTCCCCAGCTGCGCCCCACACCACCCCCACCCAAGAGCTGGACACATCTCAGCCCTATTTGTGTCCTATTATCCTCAACCATTCCAAGCTGCTCTAATCCTAGAGCTGGCTGCATATCTCAGCCTGTTCTACTTAGCAATTTCCCAGCTGTCCCATCCCAGAGCCAGCTATATCTTGGCTCTATTTGTGCACTGTTATACTTGGTTATTTCTAACCTGCTCCTCCCCACAACCAGTTGTATCTCAGCCCTATCTGCAACTGTTATACTCAGGCATTCCCAGCTGCTCAATCCCAGAGCTGGGCACATCTCAGTCTTCCCTGAGCAGTGGTATACTCAGGCAATCCCCCAGAACTGCAACACCCCAGAGCTAGCTGCATCTTGGCTTTGTATACTCAGCCATTCCCTCAGCTGCCCCACCTCCAAGCTTGCTGCATCTCAACCCTCCCTTTGTGTGTTATACCCAAATGTCCCCCAACTACAACACCCCAGAGGTGGCTCCATCAAGGGATGGGGAGGATGCACCCCTTCTCCCAGGCCTGACAGTGCCCCCAAACTACTCCACACCCGCAACTCACCGGGGCGGGCTTTGCTATTGGTCAGGACATCCTGCAGCCTCTCCTGAAGCTTGTCTGCTCGCTTCCGCTCCAGCTGCAGCTGCCTCTTCAGATCCTTCAGCTGTGAGGGAGAGAAAGAAGGGCTCAGACACCCGAGTTCTCTCCCTGGATGCCTGGGTTCTCCCCCACAACTCAGAGAGAGAAGGGAAGTGGGACAGGGTGTTAGGAGCCCAGATGCCTGGGTTCTCTGGGAGGCAAGTGGGGGTTGAGGGGGAGCCCAGACACCCATTTCACTCACCGCAGCACTGCCCTTCTTTTCCAGGATGCGCTGCCCATCCATCACGTCCTTCACTTCCTGGGGGGCGGGGAAGGATTGGGGGGAGGGGCTGAGTGATTTGGGGGTCCCCTCCCTGGTTCCTCCCCCACCCCCCAGATCTGGTCCTGCAGTGCCCCTCACCCCTGACCTGCAGCCCCTCACCCCATGGTTCCCTTTGTTCTTGACCCACAGCACATCCCATCCCATCCCATCCACCCTAATCCACCTGCTTGAGATGCTGGATGACCTGGTCCTGCTCCTCCTGGGCTCGCTCAGCCTCCCTCAGCTCTGCCCGTGTGGCCTCCATGGCCTTATCTTTCTGCTGTGGGTAGGGAACCAGGCAGAAAGGGGTTAAACATGGCACTGGGAGCCTGGGGAAGGGGAGATGGCTGGGAAAAAGCCCAGTATAACAACCCAGGGAAAGGCTGAGATGCAGCCTGATCTGGGGTGGAGCAGCAGAAAAGCCTAGCATAACACTGCAGAGACAAGGCAAGATGCAGCCAATTCTGAGGGGAATGGCTAGGGCCCAGATAAGTAGAACAGGCCAAGATGCGCCCAGCTCTGGAGAGGAACCACTGGGTATAACAGGTGGGGATACAGCCAGCTCTAAGGTGGATTGCTGGGGACAGCTGAATACAAAAGTGTCCAAGGAATGGGCTGAGATCCACCCATGAGCTGGCTGTAACAGCTGGGAAACAGCTGAATATAAATAACACTGCAGGGAGAAGGCAAGATGCAGCTAGCTCTGGGGTGGAAATACAGAGTATAATGTCTAATGAAAGAACTGAGATGAAGCCAGCTCTACGGTAGGGGCAGTTGGGGAACAGCTAAGTATAAACACCACCTAGGGAGGGCTGAGATGTAGCTAGTTCTTGGGCGCGGTGGCAGTAAATGGCTGAGTTTAATGCTACCTGGGGAGGGCCAAAACACAGCCAGCTCTGGGGCAAAAGAGCTACGAACAGCTGAGTATAACACTCCATGGAAGGGTGGAAGATGTGCCCAGCTCTAGGGTGGGGTGATTGGAAATGGGCAAGTATAACACTGCCTGGGGAGGGCTGAGATGCAGAGAGCTCTAGAGTGGAATGGCTGAATCATTCCACCAGGTCACAAAAAGGAGCTGAGATGGACCCAGCCCTGGGGTGGGAACAGATGGGAAACAGCTAAGTATAATGCCATGAAGGGAAAACCAAGATGCACCCAGATCTGGGTGAGTACAACAAAAGAACAGCTGAATATAACACTGCAAAGGAAGGCAGAGATGGGGCAGTACCTACCTCCAGCTCAGCCACATGCTGCTCCTTGCACAGCCTCAGTGCCTCCTTGTGCTCTGCCTGCTGCTTCTCCATGAGCTCCTGGGGGGGGGGGGGGGGGG